CATTTATGGCGAATCCCCCATCACTTATGCCTAGTGTCATTTTCATATCGTCCCCATCAACGCTTGTGAACGCGTCTACGTATATCGACTTAACAGTTTTAAAAGCGAAGCGTTTAAATAAAAACATGAAATATCAGCGTTTGTTGGCTTCTGACAGGAGTTGGCGATGAGAGGGTCCCATCGTTGACATTCGCTCTTACAGTTAAGGCTTTTATCGATCTACCGTTAAATATACCCCTTTTAACGCTCCTTTTCAAGTGTACTCGACTGAAAAAACGTGTGGCAAAACGTTAAAACCTAGTCATTAAAATGGTGTTGCAATCTGTCAGAGGGCTCGTTCCCTTCTCCTCGTCGTTTTTCAAGACCTGTTATTATGGTGAAGCATGTGAAAACAGGACCACCGTTCACACTCTCAGTGAATTCTCCTCGCACCACTGGTCTTGTTGACGTGACGTCCGACCAAACGATGTCTGTATGAAACTCCAATCTGCTCAATCGGCTTACTTGTAAGACGGAGTAGACCCGACAATGACACTGCAGTCAAGATTCTGTTTTTAAATGTAAATTTTCTATTTTGTTTTTGTTCTCCAAAAGTATACATTTTCCAGGAATCATCAATTCGTATAATACCTGTGGAACAAAACAAAATGTGTACCAGCAAAAAACATAAATTTAGTTTAATATAGTAATTATAGTTAATTATACCAACATATACAATGTTAAGACAGTGCCATGATTTCTATTGAAACACAGACACCATATTCACCGTATGCAAGTTTCTGAAAATTAAATACCATATTCTTGGTTCTTGTAGATAAATAAATAAATTTACTCAAATGTTACTTAAATAAATAAATAATGATGACGATTACGCTGTTAATGATGTGTTTTTGTTTTTATAAACTATTTCTAGTTACATGATCAATATCGAAACAAATTAATAAACGCGACAAAATGTCGCACCTCTGTAATTCAACAGTAGACTGAAGTCGCCACAATTGACACGAGCTACGATGAAGTGAATTCATCCGTAGTCGCCGCGTCGCTAATCTCAAAGACCCAGTTTCGAGTATTCTGTGGAAAATATGATTTTCATAATGTTTTTCCTGCGGGGCTTAGAGTACACATCTTGAGGCAGCCGCAAGGAAGCCGTGTGTCAGGTTGGACACTTGAAAGCTTTCCTTAATGTGATTTTAAGAGAACTCTTCACCGGAAGGGTTCGTCTCCTCCATTCGATGTAAGGTCATCATCGTTAGAGGAAAAGCCAGATTCCCTGAGGCACATGCCTGTATCAGTTGGCAATGCTGTGTAATTACAGCAACGTGCCCTGTGTAACTATGACGAAGTTGAAACCCTTCACGAAGTTTTTCCTAAGACAAAATAACAAGCACAGGATATTGATTGATCTGTCCTAGAAACAACGAAAACGCGACACGAGTCTTATTACACAGCTAAGAATAAGTGTTTCTGGATTGGTGAAATAAATTAATAAATTAATTTACTTTATAACAATTGAATATTCAATTATTTGTTTGTAACTAAAACAATGCGACTAAATACGGTATTTGCATCGAAACAGTCAAACGAAGCCAATGAATCGAAAAAGATTAATATTTACGCCTTCAGTCCGTCACAAGTAAACTTTCATCATATTTTGGGGGAAATGGATCTTCTCTGGGGCGAAACAATTCAACTGCATAAAACAGTGTGAGTCTGAACAGGGCGGAAAAAAACCGTTCTTTGACGGTGACGACCCCCCCCCCCCCATTTGGGCACTGAAATCTCTCCATCTGTCGACTATTTATTTCGCAAAAGGTGAATTTCGTAATTCGCATAAATTTGAGAAAAAAAATTCTACCGCCATTAGGTGTACATTTTAATACTATTGTCTAAAATTTCGACTACAATAAATTAAAACAAAATCTGCGTGGAATTATATTAAATGGGGTCTTTTAATAAAAAACTTATGTATGTTTCTATCGGGACTCGTGGGCCAAAGAGCTTTAGCGCTGCGAAGTTAAAAGATTCACTGGCAGGTAAATTTCTACCATAAAATGTTTATTGGACTTCGGCATTCTGTTTCATCAATATTGAACGCGCGGCAAACGTGCCAGATCATTTGTGTACGTCTTCTCTACACACGGTAACCCCTGCGATTATTTGCAACAACTCAGATCTCCGTAATGATCATTCAGTTGGGAGCGGGAAAAATTGAATTGACATTTCAGTGCACTTCATTCACTATTCTGTGTATCATCCCCAGTCATTATACATGGTCAATTTGCTTGACCCCAATTTGGTAAATTAATAGCTTTGTAATGGGAACATAATTTCAATTATAAAATCCATTACAAAGATAATAGAAAAGTAACCGTGTCACAATAGCGGGCCTAATACAACCACGTCGCGATAGCCTGTTTGCCCACATTTTGAATATCACTTTTCCTTAACTGTAATTTTCCATATTATTTGCCACTTTAACTGTTAAAATCCTGCTTAATAAGGTCGGTCGATAAATACAAATATCACTGCAACATTTTGATTCATTGCTGTTAATGAAAATATATTAAATAAACCGCGTGTTATGGCCGCGTTGTCGCGTTTCGATGAAGTGAGGCTGATTTTTTTTCTTAGCATGATTAAGCTTAATGTCTCGATGAATATACCGTGGCGACGCAGGTGTGTTTCCTACTATTGATAACTCCGGGTTGTATCCCGATCCATCCGTTGATTTGGACTCTCCTTCACTGCGTACATGTGAATCAATTCAATGACCCGCTAGTTGTATTTACATGTTAGTTTCAGTCCGACGTGTTGCCATGTATATTAATAGATAAGCATCTACAAACATTTTTAGTTCACGCTTGTCTGTCCACATCGCCTCCACAGGGAGTGATTCTGGAGCGATGATTCAAAGTAAAAATTCGTAATGATGACGACGACGTAATGATGATGATGATGATGATGATGATGATGATGATGATGATGATGAACAAACTCAGCCAGTTTACGAACAAATAACAAGATCAAAGCGCGCGCCCAATTTCGACGATCTACTGTTAACAAACCAAAAGTTTCTCCATAAAGTGTCCTGTATATAGTCTTTGCTCCATCTCCCATGTTCCGTGTGCTATTTAATTTTAATTCCAACCGTACCGTAACGCTGTCGCACCGAATCCGCAATGTTACCGTGACGACGCCTTGACATTATACAATGATCTCTACCCCGGTTCCCCAACGAACTGAGTTACAAGAGCAGCTTCTTCAGCACTGGGAAGTGCAATAATTAATTACGTCAACGATTCAGTCAGTAGTCTATAGGTATAGTCCAAACAGATTTAACACCATTTCCCTTAGTGATATCCAATATAGCATAAACCGATAAAATTATACTAAACTCCCCAAACTGGCCGGCACCTAAGTTATTAATGCTCTGCCTTCATAAATCATGCATCCCCTTTTAATTAACTGATTGAGTCCAATTTGTTACATGTCCTCACGTGTTAGCTTAGGTAATTTGCCGAGAGTATCAACGTAAGCTAATCTCTTGTGATCAAGATATCACCGCTTTGATCGATAGCGATCGTCTCCTATCAAGACATCGCCGCTTGATCGATAGATGATGATCAATGCGTATTTTTCTGTATTGATCACAGTGATATCCCTGGTGCCTGTAAAAGAAATTTTTTTTTTTTTGATTTTGTTGTTTACATTGCGCGTGTGGACAGCTCAGCATAGAATGGATACCATGGCTTCTAATGGATTTCGCTTGACTTCCCCATACCGTGACAGGCCGCTGTTACAAAGGACTAATTCAAAACACTGTATTCTGTAATATTAAACTCGCAATTAAATGAACTATAAAACGCTTCCTTTCCCTTTCATTCCATACGTGTCATTTTTTTTCGATTTTCAAAAGACGAAGAAAAAAAAGTCGCCCACAACTTGAGCGAGTACAATATTATATTGTAATACCTCACACTTATAACGTTTGGACACTGATTTGTTGTGACTACTCCCTTGGCGCCATTTCCGAGTGTTCATGTCATTTTCTGTGAACCAGACATTGTTATTCCCTTATCAGCTTGACAAATTTATAAACCAGTCTATAAATTACTTCTGTAATTTATTTTTCCGAGCATTTTTTTTTCTTTTTCAGTTCATGGAGGTTGTATTTGTGGCAATATAAACAGAAAGAAAATAAAGTTAAAAGAAAAAATAAATAGATCACAGCCTGGCAGATGTGAATAGGTGAATATACACAGCGCGTCTTAAATTTCACTTGGAGAGCTGGTCGTAACGCTGCACCTATACTGCATTTCAACGGATAGCTCCCGGAATTACGCGAGCTTATCTTATCGACCTAACCTCGCTAATAAATAATTACTTTTATTTGTTTTTCCGGTGATTAGAAGCGATTTATACGAATTAAGTAAATGTCCACACAAAAGAGCTATGCGTGCCACCCTGATAAAACGAGAGGAAATATGTAAACTGTCAGAGAATTTAAAACTAATAGTCGTCAATATTTTTTTATTTATTTCATATATTATAAAGTCCAGGAAGTTGTATAGGTTATGAAAGAGAAGAGTATGAAAATAGCCAGCAGGTATTGGGAGTTGTATTTTAGCGACATTTGGTCTATTGTCCGAGTGAATAGAATGAAGAGCTGGTTGTATTCTAGTCTGTGTAAAAACTCTTTTCCCTTTCAAAAGTCGCTGACAAAGAGGCCCACTAGTTAGCCCAGGGTCTATTCTAGTGTTAATACGTACACAACGAGTACTCGCTACACTGCACTTCAGCGACTACACCACGCTGTGGGTGTGCTTCGCACTGGAAGCAATTAGCGAACAGCCAATGGGACTGCGGGTCCGTTAATGAAGAGGGTCAGTCTTCGCGATTGGCTAGCCTAAGACACATCAATGTGACTCCAGGCGTTTATATACGACGAATAAGCAGTCTCACAAGTTGCCATATTACTCTTTCAAGTTTTTGCCAAGCGACAGATTACCACTTAGCTATCACTCTGGAGTTCTTTGGAAGCATCGCTGCGCCGTCATTCCCGACCACCGTGCACCCTTCTCTCTACCCCATTATGGCCGACGAACAACGAGTTCCCGAAGAGAGTCAGTCCAAGCGAAAATGCGATGATTTTAGCGCTCTTTACCTGGAGAGCACACGTTCGTTAACTGGTGACACCGGTCCTGGTAAGCTATAATTTTATTTTATCTGTAATTTCTGTAAAAGTCAAGACGGTGTAAAGTAACTTTTTTTCTTTTTGTCTCGAGGTCCTGTCTTTGATGTATACTAGTAACATATCCGCGTTAAATACATTGCCTATTTCGGATTACTTAATCCAATTTAGAATATAAAAAAAACTAAACTAAACGTTTCGTCATTGTTAGGGGCCTATGCCTGGTGTATAAGTATTGCCACATTCAGTCCCCATTTTTGCCACCGTGAATCAGCAAGTAATAACACAATGATGGCTTATCCAAAGAGTAATCTCCTTAAGTTACACTTGTAATTTCATTTCAACTATGTCCTATTTCAAGTAGCGCAACTATGTTTACTTTACACCAAAATATCTTTTGTTTTCAAGTTCACTGAGTCTTTTCGAAAACAATGCGATATTTCTAGCGTGAAATGTCATCATTCTTTCTCATTATTGAACGTCAGATTGACGGGATCCTAATTTTTGTCTAACACGGTTTCAATCAGCGTTGCACTGAAACAACAAGTTGCCCCGCGAGAGTTTCTCGCTTGCCTTTTTTTTTCTTTCCCGCATAGACTAAATGAAACTTTATCCTACGTTACAGCCCCTGGCAACGAGTACAACTAAATGATCTGGGCTTACTTATTGAAAGTTAATAGTGTTTCTGACATTATCTGACTGTACCCCAGACGCTCTTTGTGTGTGTACTCGGTGCATTTATAAATACCCAGTAGTGAACGATCTATGTGGCGTAACTTACCATAACCCACACCAATGATCATGGCCAAGCCGAGCATGACAAAGATCGATGAACTGAAAGATTCTTTGGAAATTGTTAAATGTTATCGACGAACGGCTTTTACTAAAACATCGCAGCAGATGTATCCAGTATATCCAAAAAAAGTATAACCAAAATCAATTTTTCAATTATTTCATAACATTATTAATAACGGGAGCTCTGTGGCACACGCTGGCCTTGTTTTTTTCCCAAAATAAAGAAACTCGTTTTTATTTAATTATTGCGATTTCCTTGTTAATGCAAATTGTTCAGGTGATTTTTAAATAATACCGTGGAGTTTTTAGGTTTGGATGTAAATATGTTACTAAACGTCTGATAGGCCAAATGACGCGCACGTTATATTGTGTATATACGTGCTTCCTAGAATACAACAGCACGAACAGAATCAATGCAATATTTGCGTTAAAGTCTAATAATCGATCGTTTAAAAATAACTTGAATATGAACAATAGATAATTTATATTTATGAATATTGTTCTGTAAACTTGAAGTGATCATCGCTAACAATGCGATGCGATGATTATTCCGACTTACCTGTATACCTGCTTCCGGCAAGTG